AACCCCCCCTAAACCCTAAACCCCCTAAACCCCCAAACCCTAAACCCCCAACCCCCTAAACACCACACCCTAAACGCCCTAAACCCTAAACGCCCTAAACCCTAAACCCCCTAAACCCCTAAACCGTAAACCCCCAACCCCCTTAACACTAAACCCTAAACACTAAACCCTAAACGCCCTAAACCCTAAACCCCCTAAAACCCTAAACCCCCAAAGCCCTCCTCAAACTTCTGAAGCTTGAACTGAACCCCTCAACTCGCAGCTCCCAAACCCGAAACCCGACCTATAGTCTCCATTGTAGTTCCTTTTTTGGGATTTAGGGTTTAGGGTTCTATATTTTGGGTTTAGGGTTTAGGGTTTAGGATCCCAAAAGGTATATAACCCCAAAAGGGAACTACAATGAAGACTCTAGGTAATACCCTCAACCCCGACGCCTTGTATCCCTCACATCTGACTTTTTCAACACCCTAAACCGCAAGTAGGGGAGTTCTCTAAATTAAGCATTTTTTGGAGGGTGCCATGCTTTTTGGGGACCCGAAATCCAGGGTTACAGTTTAGGGTTTAGTGACCCTAAACCCTAAACCCTAAACCCTAAACCCTAAACCGGCTTCACGGCTTAAGTTTAGGGCTTGGGGGCGTAATTTTGAGAACTACTCGAGCCCTGTTTTTGTGAACCAAGCTGGACGACCCTAAACCCTACATCCTGAAATCCTAAACCCCTAAACCCTAAACCCTAAACCCATAAACCCCTAAACCCCTAAACCCGAAACCCTAAACCCCTCTTTTTGTGAACCAAGCTGGACGACCTCGCCTCCGAAACGGTCGCAGACGAGTTCGGTTTCAGACCGCAGAAAACGCGGCCTCCCTGAATTAGTCAAAGGGCTCGAAGGGGGGGGGCGATGAAGAAAGGCGGTATAGGGTTTAGGGTTTAGGGTTTTAATAGGGTTTCAGGGTTTAGGGTTTTAGGGTTTTAGGGTTTTAGGGTTCAGGGTTTTAGTTATTTGTTTAGGGTTTAGAGTCCTTATCTAAGGGGGTCCTTAATCCTACCTACCTTCATCGTAGTTTTTGAAGCCTCCGAATTGGCTGTGGGGGGCTTCAGAGTTTACGGCTTTAGGCCTTCAGGTGTGTAGAGTGGCTCTATCGACTCGAGAATCTAGAGATTTCGGTTGAACTCAACACCCTACTTGGAGGTTCATGGGTAGTTATCGGTGGGGTTATAAGTAAGGTAACTGTAACTATAGCCCATATTAGGGGATTTTTAACCCTACTAAAAACTACCCATGAACCTCCAAGTAGATTTTGGGCAGGGTGAGCGGGGATGCGCAGTTTTTCCAGTTAGGTTTATGGAGCGACTGGATGTTGCACGTGCGAACCTCTGGCCTTGGAGATGGTTTCAAGACGTTATCGACAAGAAGTGGCCCAGAGAGCCCAATACCCCTAGGAATATGAAGTCAGAATATTAAGGCTCCTATAGTTTAAGATATGTTCCTTGATTAAGGGGTAATGGGCTCTTTGGGGGCATGCTCGTGGGTAATTCTTTAAAGGAGGGTCCCCTTTGGTTCCCCAGTATAGTACGGCACCCTTATAAGAAGGATCCTAAAAAGGACCCTAATTTAGAGAACTACCCTTGTGTAAAGTGGCGGTTTATGCAAGGGCTCTGAGACCCCAAAACCCCGGCCCCTCACCCCCAAACCCCTGACACCTAAATCCTTAAACCCGAAACCCGAAACCCGAAACCCTAAACCCCTAAACCCCTAAACCCCTAAACCCTAAACCCTAAACCCTAAACCCCTAAACCCTAAATCGCTAAACCCTCAAACCCTAGACCCCAAACCCTAAGTTTTAAGGCATCAGACACTTGGGTTGAGAAGGCCTTCGAGCTGTAGAACTTCAGGGTTTAGGGTTTAGGGTTTAGGGTTTAGGGTTTAGGGTTTAGGGTTTCGGGCAGTATTAGCCAAGCTCCAACTCAGGCAAAACCTTGGATGACCGTACTTAAAGGATCATGGGACTTAGTAAGTAGGTAGGGTTATAACTAAGGTAACTATACGTATAACCCCAATTAGGGGACTTATAACCTTACTTACTAAGTCCCATGAACCAGAAAAGCACTATAAACCGCATAGCACAGCCAGATCAAGCTCTACAACTAACGGCGATGAAGCTGTACAAGAGCCAACAGGACACCCTAAACCCTGAACCCTAAATCCCTAAACCCTAAACCCTAAACCCTAAACCCTAAATCCCTAAATCCCTAAATCCCTAAACGCTAAACCCCAAATCTCAAAGCCGCGGCTGAAAGAAGCAGACCTAGGAGATCGGTGTAGCCATCTTCTGATATCGTCAAAAGGCTCCTTTAAGGGTTCCTTTACGGGTGATAGCGGGGTTTAGGCTTTAGGGTCTACTTGGAGGTTCATAGGCAATTGCAGGGTAGCTGTAACTAACACCCAGTTTTAGCTGCCCATGAACCTCCAAGCGCGCGCTCTTCTAGTGGAAGGTGAACCCTCAATCATTTCAACCCTCACCCATAAAAACCCAAAGCCTTACTAAACTCAAAAGCCCTACGGGCCTGGAGCCTAAAAGCCCTGAACCTATACCCTAGACCCTATAAACCCTAAACTCCCAACCCTAAACCCTGAAGCCCGAAAGCCCTAAACTTTTTAAACCCTAAACCCTAAACCAAAACCCCAAGCCCTAAACCCTGAAGCCCGAAAGCCCTAAAGCCCTAAAAAGCCCAAGGTTTAAAAACTTAAAACCCCATGGAGCCTCTCTAATAGATGGGCCTTAAGAATTAGAATAGGGTTTGGGGTATATATATATACATATGTGTTATACTATAATTATTATAATGAGGCACCCCCCAAAACCCTGTTCTAATTATTATGGCCTCTGCATTAGTCCCTAAGCCGTAAACCTTAAACCCAAAACCCGGAACCCAAAACCCTAGGCTCATGTGCAAGTTCTGGCTGTGCTTCGTCTGCATCCACCATACATGCAGGATTTTAGGTTCCATGCCTGTTTACAGCTTTACGGTTTGATAAGGTTTAATGTCTTTTAGCTTGCTGTTTGTGTTCGGGTTTGAGTTTTGGAGGTTGGAACTTAGGTTTTTGCGCTGGGGCGAAACTGTTTGGAGCCGTCATCATCCAGCAGCAGTATGAGAATCACTGCCAACAACAATGAATATAGGGGCCTTAATAAGTAGAATAGGGTTTGGGGTATATTATACTGTAATTCTCATAAGGAACTCCCACAGCCCTATTCTAATTTTGAAGGGCCCCTGCATTAGCACCATCGGCAATCTCCGAGTATTGACATGCTTGGTGCGTTGTGAAAGCCTCGTGTAATTAGGGCCATTAGTTAGGATCAGTGATAGCGTCCTGTAAACAGCATGTGTCAATCTAGCTCATATGCTCCGCACCAGTGGACAAGTAAGGCTAGAGCGGTACTTGCTCGGGTAACCTGGACCTTGAAGCCTATTGCCTGAACGCACTGATAAGGTGTCGGGGTTTCAAGGTTTAGGGCTTAGGGACCCAATTCTCTAAGTGTGGGTTTTTGTGTCCTGTCGTGATGCCTCAAGATCCCTCCGAAATTGAGAGGTACTTGCCTCTATGGTTTTGACGCTTGCGAATTCTCCGCTGTTATAAACCTTACACCCTTATCGCCTGGGAGTGTTTGAGAGCTTTTGCGCACCTGCTTGTGTAAGTATGTCGTCGGGGATTACAGAATTTTCGGGGGTCCCCTCCTACCGGGTGGGTTTAGGGTTTAGGGTTACCGGGCCTCCTCCAGGAGATTCTTAAGAGCCAATTGGCAGTGTAGAGTCGCTGCGCAAACTTCCAAACACAGGCATCACCAATGAATTACCAAAAAGGCCCTTCCCTCAGGCTCGAAATACCTAATAATCATATACTCTCCAAAATGCTAACCTACAAAACGACTATCCTGGAACCCAGTACCTAATAATTGGGTCCTTTGGACCCTTAGGGCTTACCCTTAAGGACTGTTGACATGAGCCCGAGGCGTGGCAAGTGCCAGCGCTTGTTAGGCTGTGCCTTCGCCCACGGCGGCTTGAATGCGCATTAGTCATCATAATATTTCACCCTAATCACTAAACCTAAAACCCAAAACCCTAAACGCGAATCCGCAATCCCTGATCCCTAAACCGCAGCTGCTCAAGTAGTGATTTTCGTAGTTCCTGAAGAGTCAGAGCGATAGCCTAGGGTCCTCCGGAGCGCAGACTCTGCATCCAAACTCTAACCCTCCTTGTTCTTGAGGGTGCTTCCTGTGTGCAGCCTAAGCCTTTGGGTTTAGGGATGTTAATAAGGGTTTAGGGTTTAGGGATGTTAACCCTAAGGGTCCAAAGGATCTAAGAATTGGGTACTTGGTTTAGGGGATAGTGATTTTGTAGGTTAGCATTTGGGAGAGGGTATGATTATTGGGTACTTGGACCCTTAGGGTTAAGGGCTTACCCTAAACCCTAAACCCTAAACCCTAAACCCTAAACCCTAAACCCTAAACCTTAAAGGGTAGAATTGCCACCGGTTGCAGACTTGAGGCTCTGAAATGCTCGATCTTGCAGTAATGGTCGGGTGCCGCCCTGTCGGGCACCCAAAACCCCAAACCCTACACCCTGAACCTTAGGGTTTAGGGTTTAGGGTTTAGGGTTTAGGGATCCACTAGGGTCTTCTGTGCTGAGCTAGGACGCTATGGTGCGCAAAAAGGTGCTCAAAAAAACGTACCAGCCCTTGACCCTAAATAAGGCCTTCACCCTGAAGGCTGCCCCCCTAATTAGGCTCCATTGTAGTTCCTTTTGGGGAGTACCTTGTAGGATCCTAATTATGAGTTATGAACAATCGAACAGGAACTACAATGGAGCCTATGGGTAACCTAAACCTGTTGCCTTGGTCGTTGGGACAAGCTCTAAACGGTCCAGCGAGTCTGGCATTTAGGGGAGCAAGGTTTGGGGCAGATCATAGTACAGGTGCGCAGGGACTGATTTTCAGGCTTTAGGGTTTAAGGTTTAGGGCTTATAATCAATTTTGGGAGGATGTTGAAATCGACACCTAGACAACCCTAAATCTGAAAGCCCGGAAGAATCCTCTAGGACCCCTGCGATGTGCTCGATAAGGCGAGGAGGAACAGCGCGAGGCTTGCAAAAGACTGAGGCGCTCGCCGTAGCTTGTGGTGGAGGCTGTTGATGGACAAAATTCTGCATGACCCCAATATAGTAAAGTGCCATAAATCCTATAGTTTAGGTATATAAGGCCATGCAGGATTTTGTCCATCAACCGAGGGCATGGGCTTTCAAGGTTGTGAAGGTCACAATATGTGGTTTACGTTTCCCTAAACCCTAAACCCTAAAGCCTAATTACGATTACATGATGGGTTTTAAAGATTATAGATCATGCGAGCTTTGGGACTTGGGGTGCACTCCGGGCTTGCTGGCACAGATGTTTCGAGCTCCACCTTCACGACACTAATCTGTTTGATGGATTTGGGAGTGTGTTACGCCCCTAATGTCGACTCTTCTGAGCGCTTGTTGTTGCGCAGTGCTTTCGTGCAACAGGGTCTTCGTGGGGACGAAAGATGTTGCCGATGCGTGTATCGAGTCTGATCGAGTTTCCTTTCGTGTCCTGAACACTTGGACCTGGAAAGAGACAGATCGGTTAGTAAGACGGTTCCTGCAAAATAACCCTAAACCTGTAAAGGCTCTACCAGCGGTGTAGCGCTTCTGGGGCCCGCTTTAACGCATAGCTGTTCGATCAGCTACAGTAGAGGTTTGTGTTTCGGTCTCAGGCCTGTCGACTTGACGTGGTCTATATTAGGTTTGTAGGGCTGGACTGGGGTTTTCCGATGGAGAGTGTACGTTGCGGATGAAGGACCTCCAAAATAGGGTCCTTGCTCTTCGAGCTTGTAAGACTTCGTCATATTCCGGACTCCACCTAAGCCCTAAACCTTAAACCCTAAACCCTAAGACCCCAAACCCTAAACCTTAAACCCTAAAACCCTAAAACCCTAAAACCCTAAAACCCTAAAACCCTAAAACCCTAAAACCCTAAAACCCTAAAACCCTAAACCCACACATCACCGAGAACCCAACAGCACTTCCACAGGCTTCATTACGCCTGTACACAAGCCGCACTGCCTTGAAGTCATCGGTACCCTTCTAGACCCCAAAACGCCAAGATGTAAAACCCCTAAACCCTAAACCCTAAGCCCTAAACCGCAACGGGGTTTAGGGTTTAGGGTTTGCGGCAAACCCTGTTACGAAATCCCGGATCGTGAGTTGCCTGGTCCGGTAACGTTTCCTCAAGCGTTTAGGAGCTTCCAGGACCCTCCAAGTACCCTCAAATAGGGGTATATGGTCCCAAATTAAGGGTATTTAGGGTCTAATAGAGGGTAGATGGGGGGTCT